AGCAAGCTCTCATTGACATTGGTTTTCAGTGTTACGATTCTCCATTGGTGTCATATTGGTGCAATGCTGCTTCCTGAACACTGTGATACGATCTGACTTTCAATGTCATTGTGCAATCTGTATATTGTCATCTCGCTATTGCTCATTTTCCTTGCACAGAGATGCAAAGTTACAGATATGCACAACTTAGAAATTCCAACAAATTGGAAATCCGATCCCCTTTTGTTCCCACCCCGGATTTCAATACCGATCCCAATCTGGTTCCCTCCCTCAAGACCGCTTTCTCCCGATCTCGACCCGCACCCAACCTCGATCCCAACTTCGATCCAATCTTGACCCGGCCCAACGCGATCCAATCTAGACTCAACTTGGACCCAACCCGTTCCCAACCATGACCACGTACCGTTCCCGACTACTCCTGGTCCCGGTCATGATCCACTTCCAACCCCCTCCCCAACTTTGATCTCCCAACCCCGATCCGTTCTCCAACCTCCTCGCCTCCCGTTCCCAACCCCGATCCCAACCGCGATCCCAACCTCGATACTTATCTCTTCCCCTCCCATCCCCAACCTAGACCCCATCCTATCCCAACCTCTATCCCAACAGCGGTCCGCGGTCCTAGCCCACAGCCCTCTTAACCCGACTTTAACCCCAATCCCATCCCATCTCCGAAGCGCATCCACCTCACCACCACTTCTCTCTCTCCTCGACCTCACCCCGAACGCAAGCTGACCTTACCCCATCTTATCTCTACCCCATCCCGATCCCAACTTGATCTTATCTCGAATAAATCCCAATCCCACCCCGACCTCAGCCCGATCCAATCCCGATCCCACCCCGATCCCAACCCGATCCCATCCCGATCCCATCCCGATCCCATCCAGGTCTCAACATCTGACTCAAATCAGTTCCCACCTTTCTTACTCCCACATTCCTCCTAACCCGACCTCAATCCCACTCCCACCCCACCCCGGACGTGCATCCACCTCGCCACCTCGTCTCATCGTTCTCTCCTAGACCCCACTCCGAACGCAACCCGATCATATCCACTCCTCCCCCCACTCCACCTCATCTCTCACAGTCTTGATCTCACGCTATCCCACTCAGTGGATCCCAACTCCAATCCCAGACTCTACCCCCCAGACGATCCCGATCCTAACGCCACCCCGACCTAGATCTTCAATTAATTTCGGTCTCGTTGTCGCGTTGATCACGGTCAAAATCCCAATTCTTTCCCCTGGTTCAGGGGGACTGTCCCCCCCAACCCGTAATAGAGGCTCTCATCATAATCCAAGGGGAACGGGAAAGATAGGGGATAGAACACTGACCAGATTTTCCCTCTACCAGAATGGCATTGCCGCTCCCCAACTCGATCACAGCTAGTCAAGGAACTAGAGAAATCAACAAAAGCGTTATCGATAATGAAGCACTCAAGTTCCTAATAGAGAAAACCAAAGTCCAAGGAGAGCAAATCACAAAAATTCAAAAGGTTGAAGGCAAAGAAGAAGAAATCATCATTTGGAAGTACCCGGAAGAAAAGGTGGCAGAATTGGATGATTTACACGAGAGGCACGGAGTGGTATTCAACTTTGCACGGAATGGAGCAAACCGAAAAGGAAATGGATCATAGAGGTAATTAAGAAAGAATTGAAACTCAAACAATCCGGTGAGATTTTACACTGCAGATTCTGGGTCGGAACAACATCATGGCACTTTTCATACGAGAGGAACATGCGAAAGCGGCAGCGGAATTACAGTCCAGGAACTGTCATGGTTCGGTGTGCACAATCAACAAATGGAAAAAACTGTCTTCCCAGAAACAGAACCAGACATTCGCGGTCCCATACAAACAGACACTGTTAAAAGAAAAATTCTAGGTGCAATTTGACAATGTGCAACCGGGTCTGCATGGGCTGCTAGTGGACAGATTAGAAAGGCAATATCCGGCGAACAGAATCCTGAAATGGGTGCTCCCTACACCGGATTTTCTGGCCCCTCATTGTGGATCCATGACGGCAGTGATTGAGGTGAAGACAGACAATCCCCCGGTCTTCCCACAGACCTGGAAATTTCAGATTGAAAGCAGATCAGTGGAAGTCAAAGTGTCTACCAAGTCCTCCCCGATCTGCTTTCGGTGCAGAGAAAGAGGCCACATGGGAACAGACCCGAACTGCCCCAAGTATCCGAATCAACCGAAGGAACGAAAACTCCTCCCCAACATGTTAGCAGAGGTGGAGGACGCCCCGGGCATTTGGTTCATTCCGGACAGTAACTACAATGGGTGGGTCTTCGACGACAACCTGGAGGCTCCAAACTGGGTATGGCATTACGCCGACTAGGAACCAGAAGTTTAAAAACCCATTGTCTTCCCCCCGGCTGACAACAAATGGCAGAAAAGAGCCACAGGGAAGGTATCGGGCAACTCGTCGAAAATCACCACTGACCCATTGATCGATTCACGGGTTATCAAGGAAGAAAAGGATAGAGAAGACTTGTTATGGGATTTGGAAGCAATGAAAGAACAGGCAATACTACACTTCAACAAGGACTCGACGGACTTCGGAAGCATGCTGTCAAAGATGGAGCAAACATCAACTCAGAACAGAACAGGGGCTCAAACAGACAACAAAAGGACCATGGAAAATGGAAAGACACAAGGGATTCAGGAAGGGGGCCCAAAGAAGAGGAAGGCAGTGGATGCGCAAGAGGAGGTGGTAAGTCTTCCAGCAGACAAAGAAGGAGAGGATGGGAGAACAGATTCGGGAGGAACTGGGTCTGAGAAAACAAGTGAGAGCGGCAAAGGGGAAGGAGACAACAAAGTATCGGATAGTGAGGGGGATTCTCACAGATCTCTGCAGTGGCTCAGGGACTATGTAGAGAAGGTGAAGAGGGAGAGGGAACAGGCCTTTGACATTCGGGCAGCCTGTCTCAAGCATGCAGAAAGATCTTAGAGAAATGGTAAGAAGGGGATGGGCAAAGTTGGGAAATTAAGCGACCAATTTGACGTTCTCAGGAAAGTGAAAGCGGAAGAGTTATCGGAATACACAGCATTCAAGTATGCAGAAAAGAAGAGAGCAAGGGAACAGGGAGTGAAAGACAGAGATGGAACAGCTCCAGAGTCGAAGGACGACTTCCAAGATCTGCGCCCAAAGAAGTGGAAATCCGGGCAAAATCAGAAGAAGAAGAACCCGAACATGACTCAACCCGACTTAGAGGAAGAATCAGCGCGCACACAGCTGGAAAAGGAAGCGGCAGTGGTAATTGCACAAACAGAGAAGCTGAACAAACTGAATGAGGAATACTCAACAGAATTTACAACGATCACACACATTGCCAGGGATCAGGCTCCTCTGGTGGTAGAGACAGCCAAGTCGTCAAGACTGACACTGATGAACATCCGCCCCTTGATTGCTGCAAGGTATATAGAAAAACTTGAGGAGTGGCAAATTGCAACAGATGTGTCCTTCCTGATCCCATGCTTTGAGGAAGGGCAAAATGTGGCTACCGCACTCCGCGAGAAGATATCCACGGAGTACCCATTGGGGGTCTATGATACCATGCCAAGCAACCCAGATCAGGAGGATGCACTTCCTCAACCATAACACGGGGGATCAACTTCACAGCACTCAGAGCATGGTAGACATTCACCTCACGCATTCTCACCTTTGATAGTCAAGTTGTCAAACAAAGCAATTCTGAGTTCAGGGATGAGATGGAGGTTGTGGAGAACGATCCAAGTTGTGCCCTATAGTGTCTTGGCCGGTTCGAGCCTGCCGGCTAAGCTGGCAGCAGTTTCACTGGCTCAATTGGTTACTACAGGAATGCTGGAGGGCGATGGTGACTTGGATGCAAGGGCATACCCGGTGGACTGGGAGAGGTTTTATAGGAGTGACGAATCTGAGGGGGAGGACCAGGCATGGCATTCAGATGACGAGAAGGAAGAAGATGACCAGGAGGATGCGATGGACTCGGACAATGAGGACAGTGAAGAGTTGTTTGTGATCCCCAGACAGGAGATGGATAAGATGACTAGTGTAGGACAGCCCACGACAGACCCCCAAGGGGGGGAGGGACTGTTGGACATGGACACGGGGGGGTGCGCCTTCGTAGATCCTTCAATGAACTGCTGTTAACTCGTTCTAACCCGGCAGAACCCAGAGGATGGAGGGGTTCAAGAAGAGGGTCAATGAGAGGGAAGGTCAGAGGGACTGGAAAGACCATGGAATGTGAATGGCTTGGGAAATGTCGTAGACAAAGAAGAAAAATGGAATGACATAGCCCAAGGTTTAACAGTCAAAAACAAAACGCCTGCAGACATAATAATGCTACAGGAAACTCATCTCTCATTTTCAACAGAATACAACAAAATCAGAAAATTTGTGGCAAGGAAACTGGGAGGGGTCAAAGATGAAATATGGGCGGCAGACAATGTATCAAGCACAAAGGGCATAGCTATCTAAATCCCCAACTCCTCACGCATATACAAGGCAGGAAGTGTTATGAACAAGGAAGCGGACCCCCAGGAGGGCAGATGATGTTCTATGCATGTTAAATGGAAAGATGAAGAATTTCTCCTCCTCAATATCTACGCCCCAAACAACGCAGCCGAAAGAACGTCCTTCCTGTCAGAGCTGGGGACAAAGATTCCACCGCTGACGTCGTGTATAGTGGCAGGCGACTGGAATGCAACCTTAGATCCAACAACAGACCGCATATCCAGATCCTCCAACACTTACAACTCTCAAGAGGCAGTACCGGTCCAGAGACTGATGGTAGACCACGACCTAATAGACCCCTTCAGAATCTTCCACCCGACGTCAAGAGCATTCTCACTGATCAAGAAAAGCCATGCGCAGCACATAGCCTTCTCACGAATAGACATTTCAGGCACAATGATGGGAGCGGTGAAAGAGGCGGAGATCCTACCTTTAGCACCTTACCCAGGACTGGATCACAAACCCATTGAGCTCACGGTATGCTTTGAGCAAAAAGTGAGGAAAGGGGCCAGCTTTCACAAACTGAACAACTCACTCCTGCTGAGTCAAACCTTTCAAGAGGGGATACATGAATATTGGAAAGAGAGGGGTATGAGCCGCCTTCCCACTCATGACCGGTGGGAATGGTTTCTAGAGAGTTACTCGCTACTAGCAGAGCCAGCAACCGGCATGTCAAGAAAACTGGCCTCTATAAGGAAGCAGAGAAAACAAAGCCTGGAAAAGGCCCTGAAGATAGCAGAATACAACCTGAGGGATAACCCGTCCTCAGCACTATATGCGGCCATATTTGAGAAAGCACGGGAAGAGCTAGCGATGTGGAGGTGGTGGGAGTTAAAAGGCATGCAGATAAGAGTCAGGATGTGCGAATATGATCTCAGCGAATCAATGTCGAAACACTTCTTTGCCCGAATTAAAGCAAATACAAGAGCGACCACAATAGAAAAATTGAAAAGCCTTAGCAACCCGGAGGTGTCAGAGGAAACCAGCGAAGGGATTTTGGGAATAGCCAAAGAATTTTACCAAGACTTGTACCAGACTAAGACCCAAACACCCACGCCAAGCAACACATTGGAGGCGAGACAGAGAATGTTACAATATTTGGAACAAACGATATCGCCTGAACAATCAGAAGAGTTGGACAAACCCTTATCATTGGAGGAGCTAAACCAAGCTCTCAAGAGCATGAACAATGACAAAGCACCAAGTATTGATGGGCTGACAAGAGAATTCTGGGAAAAATTATGGCCAAACCTCGGGGGGGACCTGTTGAACTTCTACAGAGATAGCTATGAGAAAGGGGGGTTAGGCAGTTTGCTGAGTAGCAGCGTTGTAACACTACTGTACAAGAAGGGGGACAAGGAAGACATCAGGAACTATAGACCTATCTCCTTACTAACTCTCCCATACTAAATCTTGGCCAAGACCCTGGCTGCCAGAATCACGAAAATAACGGATAAATGCTTTCA